CTACTTCTGGGTATTTACTTGAAGAACCACTAATCTGAAAACATACGTGTACCCTGATGTTCACTGCAGCATTGTTTATAATAGCCAAAATATGAATACAACCTAAGTGTCCATAGACAAATGAATGGATAAAGGTGTGTTATACATAGGAAGCATATAATTAGCTATATGAGAATGAAATTCAGCCATCTGCAATGACAGAGAATATTATGTTCTCCATCTGAATGAACCTGGAGAATATTATGCTAAGTGAAATGTGTGCTGTGCGTGCTCAGTCGTGTCCAACTCTTTGTGACCCCATTGACTGGAGCCCACCAGGCTGCTCTGTCCTTGGGATTCTCTCCGAAAGAACATGGACTGGGCTGCCATCTCTTTCTTCAGGGAATCTTCCCGACCCAGGGAGCAAACCTGCATTTCCTGCAAGTCTCCTGCAATGGCAGGAAGGTTCTTTACCACTGAGCCACCTGGGAAGTCAAGTGAAGTAAGTCAAACGAAGAAAGACAATTATCTTACGGTTTCACTCATAAGTAGAGTATAAAAAGAAAAAACAAGTGAACCAAAAAATAAAATGAAAATAAACTCAGATACAGAGATAAGATCAGATCTGATCTTACCAGAGGGGAAGGCAGTTGGAAGGTGGGTAACAACAGGGAAGGGAATGGTGATGAATGGTAACTAGACTTGTGGTGGGGATTATTTTGTAGTGTGTACAGATGTCGAATTATAATGCTGTTATACCTAACACTTACATTCCTTCTTTTTAAAGTTTAAAAAATTGTACTTGATAAGAAGCACTGTAATTGCTTAACTGGTAATGCTTTTCTTTTTTAGATGTATAGCTCGATGGAAATGTACCAAAATGTTAACAGTGGCATCTCTGGGTGAATAGAATACTTATGAATGATTTTATATTAAATCAAAAATAAGATTAAATGGCATTCACATAATACATATCACACTATTTCTTAATGATGGCAAACAGAAACCAAATTTGGTACTGAATTTTATCACAAAATCCATGACATTAAAACATTTATTAAGTAAAAAGAATATAACAAACATACCATATAATTAACTAATATAAAAAGCAAGTCTTACTCATTTTGCTAATACTACGTATAGCAAATCTTACCTCTCATCTCCACATCAAAGTCAAATTTGTTGCAGCCTGAAGATGTTAGCGTTAAGCCACCGTTGCAAAATCCTGAAATGCAGAGTTAAGACTCAAAAAACAAACAAAATCTCCCTTAGTTCTACAGCACTCAAGCCTGTCAGGTGTAAGATAAAATAAGGAGTAAGCATGGATTTCATAGTTCTCCTTAAGAAACAGGTTCTGATGGCTGATACAGGTTTTCTTACAACCACACAGCAAGACATTCAGATGAGATGCCTTGCTTTTAATGATACTCAGCATTTTGATATTATACATGGAAAACTCCAGACTCTGCAGTAATTTTGACATATGGCCTCAATATTACATATCTTAAAAGCAATTATCATTTGTCTATTATTGACACAGTTGTTGAGCTTGATTTCAAACTTTACACAGTAAAGTGGAACAGCCATGGAATTTAAAATCCAAGAAGGGACTTCCCTGGTGGCCCAGTGGTTAAGAATCCATGCTTCCAATGTAGGGCACACAGGTTCAATCCCTGGTCAGGGAACTAAGATCCCACACACCATGAAGCCAGGCAAAAAAAAAAAAAAAAAAAAATCCAAGAAATAAATACCATAAGAAGAGATTCCAAAAAATAAAAAAAGAAGAGATTCCTATACAAGTTCAGAAGAAGCTATAAAAGGGGGAGGAGGAACTGGTTATTCTGCCTAGTCAGAATTTTACTCAGCTGTTCCCAGTGAATCTAGTAGAGGGGTTAGAGGAAGGGGAAGGAGACAGCACAGCAGTGGGCTGTTTTTCTGGGCACAGAAAAGCAGCCTGTAGCTCTATTCGGCAACTGTGAGACAAGTTAACAGTGTGAACAGAAGATGCACTTGACAGGAATAAAGAGAGTTAACAGAGTTGGAGGAGATGGCATATGAGACCTTGGCCAGGGTGCAGTAGGAAAAGAGTCTTGATGGTAAAGATGAATAGCTTAAAAGTAACACAAAATACAATTAGGGCCCAGTGCAGCAAGTCCAGAAGCCTGAGACAATGGCTACAGTACAACATTTCAAGCTGTCCAAAGGGTAGATATTGAGAAAAGGGGTCTTAAAAGGGGAGGTTATAAAAGTCAGGAGACAAAACATTAAAACTTAGTCCAAGTGTTTTCACAGAAATGAAAACACAAGCAGGGATTAAGAGGTGCCAGTGCTGTTCATTTGTTGTTTGTTCCCGATGGTTTTATAGCTTGAATAAATAGGAGGAGGAAAACAAAACTCAAAAAGTAAACTCAAGTAGGTGTTTAAGAAATAATCACATGACTGAATCCAAAGAGAATAAAGGTTATAATTAGGGTAAGTGAGTAGGACCTTGAGTCAAAGTGACAGGGGTAAGAATTTCTTGGCAACTTGTCAGTTACTAAAGCATTTAGGAAGACACTGTAAAAAGAAAACAGAGAGAAGTAGAAAAATAATGATGAGAATGATTTATAATATCCTAAAAGGAATAATGTAATATAATGACAGGATTGAATCATTTAATGGGCTAAAATAATTTTACAAAATACAGTTCTTCAGAATTCTTTTTGGTTAAATGGAATTCTAGTTGTCTTAATTTAAACAGCTGACTTATTTTTTCAGAAATGTTATACTCCAACTAAAGAGAGATTTTAGTAAAGAGGTTTTAGTAAAGGAGAAATTTTACTAAAAATTCTGAAGAATTCAACAATTGTTCACTGGCCCTTAATAATTTAAAATAACTTTGGTACTAAGGGCCTCACCATAAACTTCACTTTTAAATCCATGCCCAAAGTCATCTGAACACTAGATACATAGTTTGACTTTACTGCTAAGCTAACACAAATTCACCACTTTTACCACTAGGTGGCAAGAAAAACCCAAATAGTATCAGTTATCAAGGCCAGTACAAGATCCCAAGTACTTGAACAACTAGAAAAGCCACCAGGTGTCATCCAAGAGGGAAAAAAAGACTACTCCCCCTCCCCACCACTGAAATACACGAATTCATAGTTTTTAAGCAAAACCATCTAAGCTCTATCAAAGATAAATGTCCAGCCTATTAACTGTCAAAATAGTTTGCATATTTATATTCCATGCAAGCAATTTATGTAATGCTCTTGACTCCAAAATGCTGCCTTTCAACTAAAGGCAACAAATAAAACTTAGTTTCTGGATTAAAAAAAAAAAAAAAAACAGCAAGACCAATGAGCCCAACAGGTCATGATTTAGAGCTTCATCCTATCTAAATACACTGCACAAAATAATTTAAATTGGTTTACACACAAAAATCTTCCAAAGGGTATTTGGTTATGTATACATAATTTGAGATTCATATTCTTTTCTCCCCATTTCTCTCTTACAGGTAATTTCATTGACTCCATATAATCTAGATAATTTTATGCTGTTAAGCCTTGCTCCCCAGTGTGATACACCAAAGCACTCCAATTTGTTACCAAAACATTCTCAATAAAGAGACAAATGGACTTGTCCTTAAGATAGATGTATTATGTGAATTATTATGTTGAACAGTCCAAAGCTGAAAATTAAAATTAAAGCTTCACATAATTAAGTCCTAGTTATATAACAAATCATTCTTTTTTTAAACAAACCATCCTCTGGGCTTCACTAACTTCTAACAATGATTTTTCAATGCTGCTGTAAACACTGTGTCAGCTAAAACACTATGTCATGCTGCCTTTTATAAGGTGGTACTTTTTTAGGCCAAATCCTATTCTTAACCCTCTGGACACAGGAATTGCAATCATGTCATACCCCGCAAATCTAGCTGTAGGTGGTGTCTCAAAAAAAGGATGGCTTCTTCCTTCGAGGAAGTGGTCAAACCTTTTTCCCCTGGTGTCATCAAGCAAACATCTTGGTTGTTTTTCACTGCTATCAAATTGAGAGATGGAAGAGAAAGCGGTGGAGGAGAAAGCAAAATATAATGATTAAATTATAAATGCTTCTCTTCCTTACTCCTTATTGCAATCTCTTTTAAGGTCTCGACTGGGTCATTTCCACCCTGCCTACAAGGCACTGGTCTTTTTTGAAAAAACCCAAGCCAAGAATGCTCTTGTCTACTGAACATTATCTCTTCTCTGGTTTTTATTACATTTTCTTTTGAAATTCGTTAAGATTATGCTCAGCGACCAGCCCTTGCCCAACCGGTTTCTCCCTTCCCCCATCTCTCTACACACATCACTTTTTCCTCCTCCCATCCAGGCAGTGGGCAAAACTCTGCAGTGCCGGGAACGCACGCTTCGGGCCGGTCACTCAGCAGTTTTATCCTTACTGGCCCTTGCAAACAGCTCCCCACCCAAACCTTGTCCCCCGGTGGCCCCCTCGGCCATCATCTTTCTACTAGAGTGTGCTCGGTAAGGGACTCCGGCTAGCACATCGAGGGTTTACGGTAGCCTGCCTACCAATAGGAGGCCACAATGCAGAGAAGTCTGGTTCAGCCTCCCGGCAGCCCCAGGGTCTTCCTCCCGTGGCTTACACCTACTGTACCCGCGAGCAAGCAAAAGAGCCGGGGAGCGAGCCGGGCGCGGGAGGGGGCGCGCTGGGAGGGCCGACAGCAGCCGCGGCGTGCGCATGCGCACCGGGGTTGTTTTTCACAAAGCTCCTCTTAAAGTGAGCTGGCAGCTTCCAGCCGCCCGTCTTTGTAAGGAGACCACTGAGACTCGCAGGAGCGCGGAGCAGCCAACAGCCTCTGTGCTGCCCTGACTTTTTCAGAAATCTCAATGAACTATTTGTAAAGAATCGCTGATCTGCCTGCAAGCTTTTTGCACGGCAAAGACATCGATCAGTGTTAAGTGAGGATCACATCGTATATGTGATCTTGACTTTTTTTGTCTTACATTATATTTTTTATAGATTTTGTTATAAACATGGTGCTGGGAAAGGTAAAGAGTTTGACAATAAGCTTTGACTGTCTTAATGACAGCAATGTCCCTGTGTATTCTAGTGGGGATACAGTCTCAGGAAGGGTGAATTTAGAAGTTACGGGGGAAATCAGAGTAAAATCTCTTAAAATTCATGCAAGAGGACATGCGAAAGTACGCTGGACCGAATCGAGAAACGCCGGCTCCAATACTGCCTATACACAGAATTACACTGAAGAAGTAGAATATTTCAACCATAAAGACATCTTAATTGGACACGAAAGAGGTAAGTTTTTTTTTTTTAACATTGTTAAGAAATTATTAGACCTTTCTTTGGAAAGTACCTTTTCAATTTTTCTGAATTAATCTAATCCTGCTCCTAGAAACATATAGCAGTTTGATAAAGGTTAGCAAAGTTAGAAGATTTGGATTCTCCTTGACATTCATCGTGTGCTAAGCCGTAACGCATGCAGGCATCTGCAAAGTGACTGCAAACTGCACTTATTCAACTACCTCTATACCCGGCTTGGTTTGTGCCATACGCATTTGGAATCCATTTCAACCTTACATATAAATTAAAACCGATTCAGTAATTTTACTTATATGTTTTCAAATGAATTGCTAAAAGCTGCAGTCCAATATTAGATTTTTCCCTTATACGCTGCAACCTGAGATCTTAAAAACTAAGCTTCAATGAAGAAATAACACTTTAAAGTGGGTTAATAGGTGTATTTCATTTTTTAATACTGACATGCAAAAGACTTTTAAAGAATTGACCGTAGTTCTTTGATAAAGGGTTTCTGTGGCTTATTTTGACATATGGTATCAACACCCCACGTGTTTTTTCCCTATTCTTTCCAATTCCTTCAGAAATTTACATCAGGCGTTCTCTATTTTAAAGGACAGCACCTATCATGATGATGTGTTAAAAATCAGTTTTAGAAGCCATTAGGGTCAGAAATTTTCTTTTCCGAGCATCATGCCTAACTTTGGAACGTGGATTCAATGAAACCCCTGCCAGTCAGATGGAATTGAAAAGTATTCGGCTCATTGGATTTGATTTTTGGTTAGAAAAGGAAGATAAAGGGTTGTCAAAGGGAAAGGGGGTCCTGAGATTTCCAATCTATTGTTTAAATGGTTACATTGTGGAAATATAGGAGACTCTAAGCTTGTTTTTCTAAGTTTCCACCCTTTGTTAGAAGCGGTTCAATCCTGTTTCGGACCAGTTCTGGGGGGTGGTGAGGAGGGGCGCTTGTTCTGCTCTCAGCAGATTGGTTACACGCGTCAGGTGGTGGCGATGACTTAATTCCTAGCCCAAGAAGAATATAATGTGAAAACTGGTTATGTAATTTTGTGCTTCTCCTTTTTAATGCAGTATTTAGTTCGAATGTTGACGATTTTTCAAAAAATAGAGCACATTTTTAACCTTTTTTTAATTAAAAAATACACACTCATGAGGAAGTGCTAATTGAACTAAGGCAAGTGTGGAAACGTAGGGTGCTTTGAGTTACAGCATGAACGCATTATTTTTAAAGTATTCAGATGAAATTAGTCTTTAAATTGCGTTTTCAGTTACACAGATCATTTGCATCCTGAAATAATTTCTAGTTAGTCTCTTCAAACAGTGACAGTCATAAGAAATGGAACTGCCCAATGACAGTCCTGGTATTGGTTGAACGGGACGCCCAGGAGTTTGTATTTGATCCTTCCTAGACTGGTAGCTTTTTTTAAGATGGGTTAGAAGAAACAGGTTTTAAAGGAGTTGAGGTGTGCAGTGGGGTAAAAGTAGAATAATACGACGACTTACGGGGACAAACACAAATTTCATTGCTTGCGCCACGGTTCTATAGTGAAGAACACTGTGTTGCCCCACACCCCACCCCCCACGGGACACCCCTCAACCCCTTCAAGCATGGACGAGCTCTTCGGCTTGGAAGAGTTTCAATGACTTTAGAACTGGGACCTCTCAAACTAGCCTGGTATCTGAGGCCCCGCCCCGGGCGGCCGGCGATAGGCGGAGCCGGGTTTGTTAGCCTGTTGCTAAGGCGATGCCAGGCTCTGATTGGATTGGGCGCAGGCGGGTGGGGAGTGGGGGCTCGCCGGCTGGGGCGAGGCTTGGAACCGGCGTGCGCCGGTAAAGGTCCCTCTTGAGCCGCCGCCGCCCCCGCTTCTGGAAGCGCACGGGGCTCCTGTCACATAACATTCTCTCCCCCACCCCCTCTACCTCACCCCCCTTGCAGACCTGGAAAGGGACGACTTCAAGTTTCAACAGAAGGGAGAGGCAAGCCTTCCCGGCGGCCCCGGGCGCAACTTTTTAGCTGACAGTTCTCTGTTCGCGGGGGAAGTTGGGTGGGCCGGGTTAGCCGGACCGCACTTTCTAGGTTTTTCAGGTGGAAGTTGTTAGGCAGCTCCTTTGACCGCTTGTCCCCGCTCCTAGCTAAAACAAAAGCACGTTGCCCGGTCTCTGCAGTCAGCAGACGGGCTACCTAGATTTGCCCTGAGGGCAGACCGAGCCCCAAGACGGGCCGGGACGGGGAAAGTGACACCAACATCGAAGGCAGGGTTTGGGGGGGGGGGGGGCTCGGCGAGGCTTCCCTGCCATCACCACCCCCGCCATTGTTCCCCCCGCCACCACCGAGCTTTTGCGTCTATTCGACGCCCCCGCCCCCATTTCCTTTGCCGCAAATGTAAAGGTGTCAGGGTGGCCCGAGCCAGATCGAACCGGTCACCGGCTGGGGCGTGTAAAGCGGAAGCGCTGCAGCGCGCTGGCCCCGCCCCCCTCTCCCCCCGCCGCCAGCAGGTTAGGCTGTGCGAGCGCGAGTGCGAGCGCCGCGCGACATATGCCGTATGTATAGCGGGGCGCGCGGGCGGCGGCGGCGGCGGCGGCGCGCGGGCGGGCCGGCTGGGATCTGCTCGCGCCGGTTTAGGCCGGTCCTCTCCTGCTCCGGTCTAGTTTTTGATTGACAGCCCGGCACTTGTTTACCACGGCGCGGCCGCCGCCGCCGCTCGCCTCAATGAGACTGCTGAGCTGGCACGAAAAGGGAGCGAGAAGGGAAGAAAAGCAGCGACAGGGAGGCAAACTTTGGGCGCCTTCAGCAGGGAGCGGTTTTAAATGGCCCCCAACTCATCAGCCGGCTTTCAGGGCCGAAATCCCAGAGAGAGAATTTGCACGGGGGTGGGGGAGAAGAAAAAAAAGACTGTCGACGGAAGAATGACTGATGGTTATTGAATAAAAAGTATCCACATATAGGCACCTTTTTTCCCCCCTCTGAGGGAAGCATCATGTTTTTTGTGTCTATTTATTACTCTTTTAAGGGAAAGTTAAATGATAAAAGCCGTTTCTGATGGTCTTCCAGTTAGTGATAAAGGTTTCTACACCGAGGAAACTGCATTAGTAGACATTTATGTAATTAAATTACCTAGTTAGAACGCTTCAGAAAAGCATGTTAAGAATCCAGAACCCCCTCCCATATTTCCCTGTGTTTATTTTTGAGATATTTTGAAAAATCACCTATTTGATGAAATTGGATGTAAACTCAAAGGTCATCCTGTTTTTTTCTAGCGTTGGGGAACATCCTTATCTTCGTTTTTCAAGGATGTATGACCTGTTTTTTCCCGTTAAACGTGCACATTGTAAATCTAAGGTACATCTTACATATATGCGAATTTTTAGGTATTAGGACAGACTGAGGTCATAATTTTAGATTCAGTAAGAATTTTTATTTTTGACTATGAAACCGACATTAAAATCACTGTTCCTTTTTTTTTTTAACTCCCAACATCTACTTGACAGTTTTCTAATCGTTTTAGAGTTTTCACATTCACGTTTTCTGTATCAAAACTGACATTTTTTAAAAGGTTTACGGAATAGTTCTCGTTTTATACATAGGCTTATTAGGATAAATTTAAGTAAGTGGTTGAAGACAAAGGTAACATCTTAGTGTGAGATATGAGGTCTGAGTCTTATGTTAGCCTGTGGTATATTAGATGTAGATGCTTTGCAGTTTAGGTTGTTTTCCATTTAAAAATCACCTATGGGGTATAAATATTAATTATCCCCATTCTACAGATGAACCAGTTGAAGACAGGACTTTTATTTTACCAAGAGGAAGTGATGAAGTTGGAATTAGAATTCAGATCTCTCACTCCAAAGTTTGTGGCCTTACTTAACTATGTGAGCATCTTTAAAGTTCTGACACCGCGAAGAGAGTGTGAAGGTTTATCAATAAATTTTTTGTTTTCCTTTTCTGTTTGTTTTAGATGATGATAATTCCGAAGAAGGCTTCAACACTATTCATTCAGGAAGGCATGAATATGCATTCAGCTTCGAGCTTCCACAGACGTAAGTATTTTGTTAACAGGCATTTTGCATAAACATCCTTTCTTTTAAAATGAAACATTGTACATTTAAATATTTTTAGTTTTTTTAAAAAAACCCTTTTCATTACTGAAACTTGCTAGAGGAAAACAATGTACTAAAAAAAAGAAGCTATATTTTAATCTAGAGTGGCAAAATTATAGAAAGCAAACCTTAATTCTTAGTACTCTGGCTCAGAATTTATATGGTGTTTTAAAGTATTTCATTTAAAGTGAATTGGAAGGTGCTAGTCAAATGGTAAGCACTTAATAGTTTACCATCAGCATTAGCTGAAAAAAGAACATATCAAGTCTGTCATTTAGTAGTTTATAATATAAGTGTTCTATGCTTTGTACCGATGCTTACCAACAGCGGTAAGCTAAGAAGGTCAAAATAATTAGGAATATCTTAACTTGAGAAGTAATGTGTGTTTCTGATATGAATTCATTAGCTTCTGTGCAAGGAGCTATTAAGAATGTCACAAGAGATATTGTGACCTAGACTTAAAAGGAAATGTCAATCAGAGATATCTTAATATAAGGCCTGGAATATAGTATGAAAGGAAGAAGGAAAGTAAAATATTCATGATGTAATCATAAGGTATTAGATCTGGAAATTATACAAAAAGCAGTTTTTAAAATAATGCCTTAACAGATATTAAAGCATGCAAAGTGGTACTTGTAATGTTTGTTCTGAAAGATAAACTTGCATTACAGAAGATTTTGTCAAGTGCCAAATGTACATAATTCTGTGTGGTCTTTAATTTTAGTACTTACTATATGTGGATAGAGTTTATAAGTATTTTTCAGAGTATTTATCATATTGGTAAGAACATTTTTAATATAATATCCTAATTACTTTCTAAGAGAAATATTTTAAGTTTGTAAATACAATAGGGCTAATACAGTTGGGTCTGAATATTTTCAAAGGATGAATATAATTTAATATATATATTTTTTAATTATTTCAATAAACCACAGTCATTTAAAATAAACTGTAGAAGTCTTGCATAGATCTTGCATTTTATTTCTCTGTGCTATACAAATTAATGCAGAAGTCTAAAATGTAAAACAAAGTAAACACCACTACGCCTCAAAAAAACTAGCACTCTACCTTGTAAATAAACGAACCTTGTGCATTTTTCTGATGAAATTATGAAAAGGAGACTAAATTCACTAAAATAAAATCTTCCACAAGTAATACAATCTGAGAGAGTTGAAAAAGAATTCTAATTCTTTTGATACAGGTCAACAGAAGAAATTCTTTTTCAAGTCTATAATGTAGTTAGAAAACATGGCCAAAAAGAGTTAGAACATAAGTAAATTAGGAAGTGGGAAAGCATTTTTTGAGAGATCAGTGGACTTAATGAAATGTAAAAAGCTTTTGAAGCCATAATGATTATTCCAGACCTTTTCTGGATCTTAATTAGTTGCTATAATAGGAAATAGTAATTTTTAGCTAATGAAAAATGGAGCACCATAGGGAGTTTGGTCTGAATGTTTAACCAGAGTCTAGAATTTCTCAAGAGAAATAGTTAAACCATTCTTAATTTTATTTTTAAACTAAAGTCTTGATGTTTTCAAAAATGTTCATTTCCAGACTTTGATAATTTTGCCACCAGCATTAAAAGTAGCCTCTTCTTAGTTTAAAGCAATTGTATTCTTCTGGCTTTTTTTTTAACCAAATTTCTGCAATATTTGACAATTATCTATTATTATTTGGAAGGTTTTTTCGCCCCCAATGACTTATCCCTTTGGAAATATAAATTACGCCTTCGATACCCCATTGGTGTATAAACATATAATACATTAACACTTCTATGCTGACCTACTGTACAGTTAATTAAAAAGAGGTGTAAGATTAATATATGATCTTTATATTCTGCACAGACCACTTGCTACCTCATTCGAAGGCAGACATGGCAGTGTGCGCTATTGGGTGAAAGCCGAATTGCACAGGCCTTGGCTTCTACCAGTAAAATTAAAGAAGGAATTTACAGTCTTTGAGCATATAGATATCAACACTCCTTCATTACTGGTAAGAATTGACTGAATTCTTCATTCTCTGTTTTTGGCATATAAATACTAAAGAATAATCACCTAAACTATGTATTCTTATACAATTTTTAAATAGTAACTTTATTTTTAAATTACGTAAATGTTTTCCAAACTACAGTGAAGAGCAATACCAATTAATGCAGAATATGCTCATATTTTCTGATATTGTAATAAATTTAAGTAAATATTTAAAATAAGGCCAGTATTTGGTATGAAATATCTCTTAACTCAGAAGACAACAAAAGTAACAAAAATAAATCTGTTCCCTGGACAGTTTTAGTGGAAAAGGAACAGTAATAGCGATTATTACTATAATAATATCACTTACCTTGAAAATATTATAATCTAAAATTTGTACTGCATTGCATTACTCCAATACAGGGATAGTTGTCAAATCATGGGGAGATTATTATTTTCATGAAAAAACTTAAATTCTGTTTTAAAGAAAATCTTTTTTAATTGTATTTTTTCACAAGTTTCAAATTTGAATTCAAAAACTTTACTTGGTTTAAACAAATAATAACATCTTTACACAAATAAGAATCAATCTTACAAATGAATTTTCTTTTTTTACATTCTGGGTTTTACATTCTCAAAGATGTTATCATTTGAGATTATAACCAAGTTGCTTTCCAAAACTGCCGCTTTTTTTTTTTTTTTAATAAAGGCAGTTTAAATAGAATGTGGAAAGGGTTTTTTTGTTTTTTCCTGTTTTTTTTAAGTTGGTTTTTAATTACTATGTATGTAGTGCGTGCTAAAACTATGTTTATGAAATATGTTAAACCCTTTTTTCTTTAATTGAATGGAAACTTGTATAAAGACAGAAATACCAGTATAAATCAAAAGCTGTCGGTTAATGGAAAAGTATATTTGCTACAGAAAATGAAGCAATGTTGCTTTTAATGTTAAATTATTCAGAAATTGAGGATTGTATTTTAAAAATTTTATTCCTGTCTCAATTCATACCTTGATCTTTTTCTCTAAATTTATATCTTACAGTCACCCCAAGCAGGCACAAAAGAAAAGACTCTCTGTTGCTGGTTCTGTACCTCAGGCCCCATATCCTTAAGTGCCAAGATCGAAAGGAAGGGCTATACGCCAGGTATGTATGAGGTGGACTCCCACTAAGACTGATCTTTCTACATTTAACTTTTGTGCATGAATTTGCATTTTTTCTACTAAATGGAAAGATGATACAGTATTCTTTGGTAAACTGTTATAAATTGTGCTTATCCAGTTTCCTTTTGTAAATTGGGATGTAGTCTAGGTTTTTAAATGGCTGCTGTAAATGTGTAGTTGATTTTTAAAGTTACTTGCCACTCTTAGGGTGGCTTCTTAATCCACATGGTTCACTGAACTTTCAAACTTTAGTTCAAGAATCTACATTTGTTTGGGGGTTGGTTAGTTGGTTTTTAACAGTAGATATATATATATATTTTTCATGTAGGTGAATCAATTCAGATATTTGCTGAGATTGAGAACTGCTCTTCCCGAATGGTGGTGCCAAAGGCAGCCATTTACCAAACACAGGCCTTCTATGCCAAAGGGAAAATGAAGGAAGTGAAACAGCTTGTGGCGAACTTGCGTGGGGAGTCCTTATCATCTGGAAAGACAGAGACGTGGAATGGCAAGTTGCTGAAGATCCCACCGGTCTCCCCCTCCATCCTGGACTGCAGCATCATCCGAGTGGAGTATTCACTGATGGTGCGTACAGGTTTAAGGGTTTGGCGTGGATGTTTTGTGAAGTCTTAATGTCATAAGGGTATCATTTTTGTCTTATATCTAGAATATGATTTTTTTATTCCATATATGATATATACAGGTATATGTAATTCTTTGTATAACTTGGACTATAATTTCTAATTTTACCTGAGGTCAGTGCACCGTATAATAGTGTACATAATGGAGAAACTTTTCAAGTATATCATTAAAAAATGAAGTAAATGAGGGCCTCAGATGACAATAGATTGAGTTATTCATTTTTAAAAAAGAAATAGTACTTGGCATTCTAAACCTTTCTTTTCATTGTTAAGGTATATGTGGATATTCCTGGAGCTATGGATTTATTTCTTAATTTGCCACTTGTCATTGGTACCATTCCTCTACATCCGTTTGGAAGCAGAACCTCAAGTGTAAGCAGTCAGTGTAGCATGAATATGAACTGGCTTGGTTTATCCCTACCTGAAAGACCTGAAGGTAATAATTTGATAATGTGTATCTAAGCTTAATCTGGTATTTGCAAGAAAATAATTTTGCTTCTGATATTTTACGATTAGATAAAATTTGTCTGTATTGAAGAGTGGGGTGTGCCCCTAATGTTAGGTTTAAAATGTGTATCCCCCTAGTTTTAATCACAAGATAGATTATTATTATTTTACTTTGACATTCCTTTTTAATACCTTCTATTCTGTGTATTTTGACATGCATAAGAACATGCTGTTCGAATTGCGTGTATCTTTTTCCTTCAGCACCACCCAGCTATGCAGAAGTGGTAACAGAGGAACAAAGACGGAACAATCTTGCACCAGGGAGTGCTTGTGATGACTTTGAGAGAGCACTTCAAGGACCACTGTTTGCATATATTCAAGAGTTTCGTTTCTTGCCGCCACCCCTTTATTCAGAAGTAAGCATCACACCCTCAAGTACAAAATGGGCTGACTCTTAGTAAGCAGTATTGCAGAGATTCTGAAAATACAATTAGGTTTTAATATCATAGTAAGAGAATAATAAATAATTTTGAACAACAGGGTAAAAGTTAGATCAAGATTGTCAATACAGTCTCACCCAGACATTGGACTAATCTCTTATATTATTGGCTAAATAAAGATAATGATCTAACCCCATGCTTGTAACATGCTAGTTAAAGGAATAAATATTTTAAAGCATCTGCAGAACTAGCATTTGCAACCATTGACTAAATAGCCAGAATTTATCTTACTCGTCATCCTTTTTAATTTTCGTATTTCAACATTCTCAGTGATAGGGGAAAATAACATTTGCAGTAACGTACTTAAACAGCATTCCTTCACTGTTAGATTATTTTTATTCGTCTCAAGTAACTGAGCACTTCTATGAATAAAACATGGCCCTTATTTGGGAGAAGCGTATAGACTGGTGAGAAAAAAACAAACTTAGAAGCAAAATATTACATAACAATGTGATAGGAATGCACAGTTCATTTAAGGAGCAGCTTAGTGGATCTTGAGAATCAGGAGGGACTTCCCTAAGAAGGTGATTGTTAAGCTGATTCTTAAAAAGTAAGTTTTCTCAAATGTAGAATATTCCAGGCAGGAAGAAAAATATACGCAAAGGAAAGGAGTTGGGAAGAAATCCAGCAATTTCAGGATACTTCAGAATATATATATATGCATATATGTAATAGGCATTGTAAGAGACTTCTAGAATTGGCCTTGATAACAATATATTACCAGATAATTTTTTAAATCATTAGAATCAGCTTTTGCTTTTTGGTTGCTATAGTTTAGACAGCTATTTTGCAGTGAAATACTACTCCAAGAAAGATACAAGAGGATTGTTTCACTCTTCAACAAGTTGCTTTTATTTTTTTTTCCCCTTAATACCATGACTAGAAGAGTCAGTTGTCCTTTGGATGTGATTAATATGAAATCCACTGTATTCATTGATTATAGGATGTTCCAAAATCTGTTCTGTTCTCTGCAAATTCTTGTTTGGACATAGTTTTTTTTGTTTGACTATTTCAGTTCATGAAATTTTTCATTAGATGCTAAAAGTATCCTCCCACTTTTTAGAAATACTGTCACTACATTTTTATTTTGACATTTCTGTCTTGCTTATTAAGTCCCTCGTTTGTGATTTGATCTGAGGCTTCCTAGTTGTACAACAGGCATTTTTAAAGAATGGCAATCTTAAGTATCCACTTTTAAGCCATTTGTCATAAAATTCTACCTTCTTTTAAAATGAACTAAAGCTAATTAAAAGAGTATAAAACTTTTAAAAGCTTAAATTGGTTTAGGATGTGATTTAACTGTTTAACATCTAGCCACATTTAGGGATGGGGGAGTTCTTGATTGTATTAAAGCTATTTTGAATTTTTTTTTTCTTTAAAGGATAGCCATTAAAAAGAAAAGTGTAAGTGCATATGAAAGTCACTACAGAAAGAGGCAAAATGGGATGCCTCTGGAGCATTTGGGTTCATCATTCTCTCTTCTTGATACACACTGTATTCCTGGGCCCTCTCTGGGGCTTTACTCTTAAGAGCTGTCACCTCAAGAACATTGTTTACACAGCTACATTCTTCCCAAAGCCTAGGGGAAACATCAGTTGACTTTTTTGTAACAGGATGAAAGGGAAACTTTACAGGAGAAAATCATTGCTATGAAAATGTTGGCCATTATATATTTAAGTCCTAAGTTCTATTAAGTGCCGAATAAAGCTCCTGTTACCTGATAAAATGTTACCCTTAGCTTCTGTCAAATAAAACTAGCCCGGCATACCTTCACAGTGTAGTTGTCACTCTAGCAATTGCATAGCAAGCACTTCATAAACGATCCTAATCCTCTTTCTTCCCCATACCAGCCCTTTATGTTCCTTCTGATCACATTTCTCAACGTAATCAGATTTCTGATCACAGCATTCAAGACATTTAGCCTGTTTGCTACATCCTTACTAAAAGCTATCAGTTAACTTCGGTTTTGAGGTTTTTGTTTTTGTTTTTTTCCCTTTCTAGATTGATCCAAATCCTGATCAGTCAGCCGATGATAGACCATCTTGCCCCTCTCGCTGAAGGAATACTTGGTTAAATCAAGTTGATGTGGGTTCCGAACTGTATCTCTTCCCTTCCCGGCTGAGGACAGAGAAGTATCTTGGAGACATGTTTTCAGAGGAAGTGGAATAGCTTTTGCCCAGAAAAATGGCAAACATGAAACAACCAGTGATCACGCTTTAGAAGCCTACAGCAACATTCTGGGACTGCTCCAACATGCTTGAAGATCTAAGCTTTTCTCCTTTAAAACTGGCACATACTAAGAGCAGTCTTCTTAGCCTATGGTCATACGTGTCAAGACACCACGTTGTAAAGAGGGATGATTTCCTTCTTTTGATTTGAAAATTTGCACATGCTCAATGCTTACATTGTGCGGTTCAGTGTCACTACAGCTTTTTTTTTTTCCATTTATGCCAGACTCTTGATACTCTTTTAAAACTTGTTTGTGGTGAGCACAACAAGGAACAAAAGAAAGCTTTGAAAGAAAAACTTTAACATGAAAAAAAAAATGCACTGACATTTTTTTTTTATTATTTAATATAGCCTGGACTTTACCTGCGTATGCACATGCTCAGAATTGTCCTACTAGGCTGACCATGTATCACCTCTTCAGCTTGGATCCTATTGTGGATTTATTTACAAACATCAAATGCCTTCAAGCCAATCCTTCTTGCTGTGTGTTTGCAGCCTACTGTGGTAGAGAAGCAACAGATATGTGGGAAAAGAGATAAGAGGAGGAAGCTAATACGAGACTTTGTCAAGATTGTATACCTTCTTGGTTTCTTTTAAGAATTTGTTGCCTTTCTACTATTACAGCAAAGCAGCATTTTGTTACTGACTGCCTAAAATCACTTAATCTCAGGTGAACGCATCACTTGCCAAACTGTTGGAATGCTATTTGTGTTTTGTTGCACTGTTGAGTTATTTTTTTGTTTGTTTGGTTGGCTTTTTGGAGAGGGAAATTTGGAAAAGGGACATACACAAAAGTGATAACCCACCCGCATTCCCTTCTTATCATTACATATAAGAAGCTAGCAGAGCTGAGAAACAGTCAAGAAAGGCAGTATGGCAGGCACCAGCAAAGAGTTAAGGGCTGTTGCTCTTACAAGTTATTGTTATTTTTTATTATTATTTTAAAAGTATGGAAGTTTTCCAGTCACTGGAAGGGAGGAGATAATGCATTTATTTTTATACAGAGTTACTTAATTACCTCCAAAACACATATGTTGGAAATCATTTTTGCTGGTGCAGGGTATTTCCATGTGCGGGAATATGTATGTTCAGATTATGAGAGAGCTCATTTTATACATTTCCTGTCCTGCTCAAGCTTGACAGCTTGAAAGCCCCAGTATATTATAGAAGTATAGAATGTCAAAATTACAAATACTAGACTATTTGTTGAAATAGTAACTTATATTTTTCTGGTTTTTTTTTTTAAACAAAACTATGTTTTTCCATAACCTAAAGAAGATTTTGCTAAACGAGAGAAATCATTCACTTTGAGTATATATAGTTACAAAGAACGATCACATCAGTAAATTACAGAAAGTATGAAAGATAATTTACAGTTGACTCATAAGTATACCAGCATTCATGAAGACCCTTAAAACTGCATTTTCCAAGGTACCAAGTGTACTGAATGTCTTTTATTTTAGAAGGATTTCGGCTCTGTTTTTTGTTTTTTGTGTGTTTTTTTTTTTTTTTTTAATGAAAATCGGCATCTCTGATGTTGCAACATATGTGTGAAATGGGTCTTACATCTATCCTGCCATTTAATCCCACAGTTAATAAAGTGGCTGAAAATAATAGTAACTCTGGCTTGGTGCTTGACCTGGTTAAATACTGTCTTAAAGCTTCATACAAAACAAATAGGCTTTTCCATAAGTGGCCTTTAAGAAAACATGGAAGACAATTCATGTTTGAAAAATGCTGACAGGGTGAAGAAAGCCCATGTAAAAATGAATCGCGTTTTAAGTGATTCGGTTAAAGGGTTTGGGCTCCCGTAGCAAACTAATACTAGATAATAAGGAAATGGGGGTGAAATATTTTTTTATTGTTGTTAAATCATTTTGTGAATGTCCCCCTCAAAAGAAGCTAATGGAATATTTGGCATAAAGGGCATTTGGTGGTTTTATTTTCGTTGGGGGTTTGGGGGGGGGATTGTCAGAAAATCCCTTTTCTTTTCTCTCTTCTTACGTCTAACTGACTAGGGAACAATTGTTGATAATGCATAGCGTTGGAATACTTATCACCATATACTCTTATAAATAACACATGAGGAAAGAATGACCAATATTCTAATAATTGGCACTGGGTCACAAAATGTGATACAATTTTAAATATAGAAAACTTTATCAAATAAAGTTTTATTTCCCCCATTATTCCTTTACTTTCTTACTTAGAGGCATTACTCTTTTCTAAATATTGGTCAATTCTTGATATAAGATGTGAGCTTCACAGGTGTATTCCAGTATTCAAAGATAGATTCCTGATTTTTCAATTAGGAAAAGTAAAATCCAAAATGTTAGCAAAACGAAGTGCAATATTAAATGTTTGCTTTATAGATTATATTCTATGGCTGTTTGTAATTATCTTTTTTCTTCTTTTTTATTTGGTGCTGAATATGTCCTTGTAGGCTGTTTTAAGAAAACAACATGTGGGAAATGATTTAATTTTTCCTATTGCTCTTCCTTGTGGAAAATAAAAGTGTTTCTTTTTTTTTTTTTCTTTTTTATAAAATTGTTTGGAGATTTATTTGAATTTTAATAGTTTCAGTAACTCATCATACATGCAAACACAATATTAAGACTACAATTAGGGAGTTCCATGGTGGTCTAGTGGTTAGAATTAGGCTCTTTCAATGCCGTGGCCCAGGTTCAACCCTAGTCGAAGAACTGAGATCCTCCAAGCCATGTGGCATGGCCAAAAAGTTAAAAAAAAAAAAAAAAAAGACTACAATTAAATTCTTATTTTAATCCATGCTGGATAAGAATTCTTTCTAGGTCTCGAGAGGCGTAGAGGAATTTTTAATACAAATTATCAGTTTTACTTAATTCATTAAGTGATAGATGCTTTTTAAATAAAATTTAGAAGTTTGATATATGTTTCCATGTATATATGAACCAAACTGAACCAGGTATGTTTTCACTTTTCAGGTACTAATTCCTCTCTCTGATGTGTCCCAAGTTTCTAGTATTTCAAGAGCATATAAATTTAGAAATTGTATTAATCTAATCTTAAAACAATTTTTCTAAATGTTAAAACTTTTTTTTCCTCAAAGAATGTCTGGATTTTATAGTGATCTGTAACATTAAGAAGTAACGTTTGGAATCACACTTAGAAGTTAATCTTAACAGTGTTATATACTCATGGATGAGCTATCAAGTTGTATATGTACATTTCTATATGATTCTCCCCTATTCTCAAATGTATATACACATGGAAGTGTGTTACGAAGAGACATGAAGAGACAGACATTTACAATCGGTTTTATAGCAACACACTATCATCCTTGTTATGTAAAAGCAGTCTGCACAATATTTTAATACAATAAGGAAGTAAAAATGACTAGGAGAGGAATCATGAGAAGGGAACATCTGTGTTCTGGGTTCTTTGACTTTAGATAAAACTTTGTACAAGATGGAATTTTGATTTCTTCATCTACAGAGTGGAACAGTATGCAGTTAAAATACAACTTTAGGTAAAGAAATAATGCTCTATGTCAGTTGCTGAAATGTTGGAAATTAACCATGTTACTTCTAAATTTGCATTTGAATACTTCTAGTTCAGTATATGTCTCAAGTTACATAAAAGTGAGTTGCCTGGGTCTAATTTTTTCTTATAGCATCTCAGTTCAGTTTAGTCGCTCAGTCGTGTCCAACTCTGTGACACCATGGACTACAGCACACCAGGCCTCCCTGTCCACCACCAACTCCCGGAGTTTACTCACTCATGTCCGCTGAGTTGGTGATGCCATCCAACCATCTCATCCTCTGTCGTCTCTTTCTCCCACCTTCAATCTTTCCCAGCATCAGGGTCTTTTCCAATGAGTCAGTTCTTCGCATCAGGTGGCCAAAGTATTAGAGTTTCAGCTTAGCAAATTCCCTGTGTCGTTAATTTATTGAATGGTCAACATTGGTATATTTATCAGGACTTTTGAAAATCGTAACAGGGAGAAACTCAGGCTAGCTTAAGTAAAATAGGTTAAATAGTAATTCCAGGGATGAACTGTATTAAGCACATTTGGATCCAGAAATCCAAATACTATAAGGGTACACTTATCTCTGTTCACTCACCTTTTTTGTATTACCATTAGTCTTATCAGACTCATTCTCTGTTAGATGGGTCAGGAAAGATGGCCTCAGCTTTTATAGCTCACAGAAGAAATGTTACCTTAAGCCCCCAAGACATTTGTTAGGGAAACTCCTAGTTGGCCAGTACCTTGTTCATGTTCCATGCTACCTAGAATGGATTTCCCATTAGAATTTAGTTTCCAGGAGAGAAAAGTGAAAGTTGTTCAGTTGTATCCGACTCTGCAACCCCATAGACAATACAGTCCATGGAATTCTCCAGGTCAGAATACTGGAGTGGGTAGCCATTCCCTTCTCCAGGGGATCTTCCCAACCCAGGGATTGAACCCAGGTCTCCCACATTGCAGGTGGATTCTTCACCAGCTGAGCCACAGGGAAAGATCACTATATTTTTACTGTTCAAGTGTTGTTCAAATCAGCAGTAATGGCATCATCTAAGAAGAGGAAAATATCAAGATCTGTCTCAGAATATTGACCCAGAGCACCTGTTGACATGATTCCCAGGTGATTTGTAAGTGCAACAAAGTTTGAGAAAGCAGCACACGAAACAAAATATAAAATGGAAGCAATAGGCAAATTTGTTCTCATGAATATCAAGATGTAATTGAGTTGAGGATTTGGGGCACTTAAGAAGTGAGAAATAAACTTGCCATTTCAAATCCCACAGCGTATTCATGGCTTGATATTTTTGAGACAGATCTTTGTAATTAC